TGGAGGCTCTATATTCTTTCAAAGTTTAATATTCAAACCAACCATTTTGAATAGTAGACTAGTAGAGTAAGGGCTCACCAAATTTTGAGCTTCTCATCCAAATTGATATATAACTATTGAGTTTCCATCTCCAGAAACATTCCTCAATCACTATGACTTCAAATAGTCTTCTCAGACTAAAGATTTTGAGTATACTTTATCTACTCTTTCTGTCTATTAAAAGTGTTGATTCTCAATGGATCGTCAACCGTCTTCCCGGTTTTGATGGTGACTTGCCGTTTACTCTTGAAACGGGGTTAGTATATGATAATGAATCTTTTAATATTTAAGAAACGGTTAACGTTATTTTTGAGCTTTACTAGTTTGATTTCAAACTCCTGTATTTTATTATATATAAAGGTACATTGGAGTGGGTGAGAACGATGAGGTGCAACTTTTCTACTATTTCATTGAGTCCGAGAGGAGCCCCAAAGACGATCCTCTGTTGCTTTGGCTCACTGGTGGACCTGGTTGCTCTGGTCTCTGTGGCCTTGTTTTCGAGATCGGTACATCAAACTAGAGTTTCCCTTTCATATAGAGAAGCCTCAAATTGTTTTATTTTCCAGGCTCAATTAATATATACATATATATTTTTTATTATATATAGGTCCACTACAATTCAACTATATAAATTCAAGTGGGAATAAACCAACATTTGAGCTTAACCCTTACTCATGGACCAAGGTATGTGTGCACCCTTGATTATATATGTAAGCTATTGATATGGGTCGGTTGAAAGGCTAAAAGGCAGAGTTATAAATGAGTGGAGTTGAGAGGTAGAGTTATAAATGCGTGAGTTGAGCAAAATATTGGGTATTTGAGTTCAAGCTCAACTCATACTACCCGAGCCTTATTATCGAGCTTGAGCTTCATTTTGATTGAAAGAATTGAGCTCAAATTAAGTATTCAGAGCGGTAACCTTGTTACGTTCAACATCAAGCTTGAACACAAATTATTTGTAAAAGGACTTCTATATATATATGTGGATTTTAATTGATATAATTTTTAGTTTAATACACTATATAATATATTTATTAAAAAATTATTATTTTTTAATTTAAAATTAAAAATAAGTAAACCTAAAAATACAATTATGCATATAAAATATAAAATATAATTAGTTCTATTTATATTATATTTTAATAATTAAATTATACAAGTGTGGTATATTAAATCAAAAGATATATAATTATTTTCATATATATGTATAAACATTTTTAATTTATAAAATTAGAGTACAAGGGTATTTATTTATTGACTTTTATCTTAATTAAGTTACTCACATACCTAGAAGAAAAATACTTCAATAATTGAGCTCATAAGATTATTTATCAAGTTTAAATTCAAATTTGTTGTTTATTTAAAAAGTTGGGGACAGGTTTTGCTTGAATCAAGTAGCACAATAACAGCCCTAAGCATAATATTAATTAATTAACCATACACACTAATTTTGCAGGTAGCAAACATTATATTTTTGGATCAACCTGCTGGCACCGGATTTTCATATGCAACTTCTCCTGAAGCTTATAATGTTAGTGATACATTGGCCGCAGCAAAAATCTATACTTTTCTAAAGAAGGTTAGTAAAAATGGCACATCAATTCGATGCAGAGCAAGCTAATTTTTCACCCACTCAAAGTTCATTCAAAATCTTTGTAAAACTCAAGTTCAAGCTAAATCTTTCTCTCTTTTCTTTTTTTTTTTTTTTATGTTAATTATGCAGTGGTTTATTGTTCACACGAACTTCCTAACAAACCCACTTTATATCTCTGGCGATTCCTATTCTGGTATTGCTGTTCCACTCGTGGTTGAGCTCATATCAAATGGTACATATTCATTAGAAAAT